CCGTCATTTTCTTGAAAAAATTTAATAGCCCCCCCTTCTAGTCATTTATTTCTACATATGGCCCCCCCCCCTCATTTTTTCCCTCCCCCCTTCCATAAATAATGACCGGTCCCCAAGTAAGCATGCATATATATACCATATTCCAGTATACTATTGAGTCCCCTATACCAATATACTAACGATCCCTAGTATAGAGCCACAGAATAGTAACCATGCAGAGGTCTCACTTTACGAGAATAGCGTAAGGAAGTTTTTACTGTGCATATTCTTATGTCCCAAAGAGAGGCACTCACTCCCTGAAACATTAAATTTCAACACCTTTTCAGGGGGGTGACAGCTTCTCTTTAGGGCACTTGCCAAGGAAAAATCCCTTACGCCAAAATTAATAAGAAGTGAGACCTCTGCATGGTATTTAGTGAGACCTCTGTATGAGAGCTGAGAAGCGAGAGTTCGCATGAGAGTACCAATTTTCAGTGCCCATGCTAATTGACTAATTTCAAATTGAGTGTCAGGAATCATTAAGATTCTCATTAGGGACGTTATTTATGGCGGGGGGTACCGAAGAGGAATGCTTTTTTGGTGACAATTTTGCTGATCCAAACATTGAAAGTCAAAAAAATGTTTTACCTAACTTAAAATATCAATTGAAAAATAGATACTCACTTCTTTCCATAAAGAATACCATTAGTTGTCAGACCATGACATATGGAAACCTTATCAGACCGTAACAAGGTTTCCATTGTTTCCATAGATTATCATGATGAAAGATGAACACTTGGCTGTCTTTGAACCCTTCAAAGCTGTGTTTATATTTCAAAATTTCAAAGCCTATTGACTTGACCTTGGCCAGGATTTCGCTTTCGTTGATTGGCCGACAAATTAAATAAACAAAACAGCGTAAGCAAACTCATGTCAAGGTCTGTCAAGGCCAAGGACAGGTTAAGCCATCTTTCATCACGTTAACCTCTGGAAACCTTCAATAAAAACCGACGAAGTTGAAAATATGTTTGCTAGTTTTACTTTAAAAACAAAAACCCATCTTTAAAACAATATCCTGTGTACCAACTTAGATAAGATTTCTATAGAGAAGAACTTTTTTCCTCAAATAATCAGTGTTTTCTTTTGAAACAACTAAACAGAAATACTTGCTGACTAAAAATTTAAAATCCCAGCTCTCATTATGACGACAACAGTTTATGATCAAGTTTGACTACTTTGACACAAGGTTTATGAATCAGTCTTTTCCTAAAAGAGGAAGCCAACAAGTTTCCCCAAACATTCTATACAGCAAGTACAAAAAACAAATTGAAAGAAATACCAGATTATCTTGAACAAGAAAACAGAAGGGAAAATATATGAACATACTGTAATCCGAGTTGCAATCGTTTGCAAAATTGGACCATTTATAGTCTGATTTAAAGTTTACCGAAAACAGATTAATTCCCGAAGCTGTCAATAATAACCACAATGTTTTCGATAAAAGTTAAAACTAATGTTTCCATGAACGTTGGTTTAGCAATCAGTTTTTGGCTAAATAGGTAAATGAACCGAGTCAAACATTCATTTTATATGGCAAGAGCTACTGAAAAGTTAAGAGAAATATCAAATTTTCTTGCATACGAAAATATGAGGGTAAAATATTTAGGGCGTGGTGAAATACGAGTGGTTAAAATGGGAGAGTTTAAAATATTGTGCAAAGGCTCGCAGTAGGATCAGTTGTAGTTGAACTTCGTCAGGAAAGTTGGAAAGATTAAGATGGAGTCTAAGTTCGTGATTTTGTTGTTGTTTGTCTTTATGGCTGACATAACTTCGGTCGTCAACAGTCAGAGTAAAACTACGGTGAGTTTGTCGTCTTATGATATCTAGGCACTAGAGTTTACGTACGGTACATTTACTGGTAATTTAAGATAAAAGCGAACATTTAATCATTTATATCGGACAGCTGTATCAGTTCTCCCTAGAGGACAAGTCTATCAGTCCTTGTTGCTCCGGTGTTATACTACATGAGGAAACCTAAAGTAAACTACGTTATTTATCCTGGCTCATACAGGACACCTCGATCAGTTCTAAACTGTTGTCCCTTCACGTTTAGAATAAGGACAATCCCTTATTGTCCCATGCAGTGTAAGCTCAGGAATGGATTTACTGCGGGAGTGCAGGGATGTGGGCAACACACTCTGGATCTGGCTGGATCAATCCATGAGTTAGCTACTAGACGAGCTACCTCATTAAGCAAACTCATTTTATTTATACTAGACATTTGATAGCTCTTTGAGTTCTGTCGAAGCTGTTTTCGTTCATTGTCCAGTATAAGGACCATCTTGTATTGCTAATTGTGTTATTATATCCTTAACAAATCTTTGTCATTTTTTATTAGTCTTCTCAGGTGACCTGTGGTTCTGCAGGTATCCCAGGTATCCCTGGAATTCCAGGAAATCCCGGAAGAGATGGCATACCCGGGTCACGTGGTCCTGCGGGCGCGAAAGGGGAGCCTGGGGAGAGAGGAGATGATTACGTAGATCTGGTGAAGTCAAATTGGAAACAATGTGTTTGGAAGAGAGGTGATGGCAAAGACACTGGCTTGATACAGGTTCAAGAAATTAAGGATTTTATGTATTTAAGTAATAGTTCAAATAGGAGATAGCGGACATTACCGGGATATTTCAAACTCATTAATAATTCATGAGTAAATTAGCCAATCATATCGCTTTATTTTGCTCACATGATAATACTGGATACCTGGTGAAGTACATTAATTCAGTCCTTGGACTGGATCAAAATTAATTCATTCTTGGGCTGGATCAAAATTAATTCAGTTCTTGGGCTGGATCAAAATTAATTCAGTCCTTGGACTGGATCAAAATTAATTCAGTCCTTGGACTGGATCAAAATTAATTCAGTTGGACTGGATCAAAATTAATTCAGTCCTTGGACTGGATCAAAATTAATTCAGTCCTTGGACTGGATCAAAATTAATTCAGTCCTTGGACTGGATCAAAATTAATTCAGTCCTTGGACTGCATCAAAATTAATTCAGTCCTTGGACTGGATCAAAATTATTTCAGTCCTTGGACTGGATCAAAATTAATTCAGTCCTTGGACTGCATCAAAATTAATTCAGTCCTTGGACTGGATCAAAATTAATTCAGTCCTTGGACTGGATCAAAATTAATTCAGTTCTTGGGCTGGATCAAAATTAATTCAGTTCTTGGGCTGGATCAAAATTAATTCAGTTCTTGGGCTGGATCAAAATTAATTCAGTTCTTGGGCTGGATCAAAATTAATTCAGTCCTTGGACTGGATCAAAATTAATTCAGTCCTTGGACTGGATCAAAATTAATTCGGTTCTTGGGCTGGATCAAAATTAATTAAGTTGTGATTTATTCGCATGAGATGTTATTTCAAATCTTCCAATTCGGACTGGACTAGATTTCAAGTCCTCGCATTTTGATCCAGTCCTCGACTTCAAGCTCGGACTTGATCAAATTGCGCGGAGTTGAAATCTAGTCCAGTCCTCATAGTCGTATTTGAAATATTATTTCAGGTGCCGACTGCGTTTTTCAGTAAAACGAACCACGGACCAGCTTTATTACAGTCAAAACAGAAAAACCTGCACACTTCCGCTTGTGTAGTTCGTTGTGGCATACTGTATTTCTGCAGTAGCTGCTGAAAAAATGTTTGTTCAAAAATCGTGCATTAACATATAACTAATAGCTGTTGTAGAATTTATTGATTAGCCAACACACATTCCATCCAAAATAATGCTAACAAACAAACATAAGTCAAGAATAAGCGGTTTCTTTCGTTAAATTTTTCCGAGCTTCTACAGAAATACAGTATTACACAACAAACGGCAGTAACTGAAGTGTGCAGGTATTTCCGTTTTGACTTTAATGTTCGGGATTTTGAAATCCTATTAAGTCCGAACTCGAGAATTTGAACTAAATTCCGTCAAACGTTGTAATTTACACAGTTTTATTTAAAATCTGATTTTAACGTTCCGATACTTTTAGTGTCCTGTAAGACATCTTCCTTTAGTTTCTACTGTTAATTAATAAGCCGGTTTGAGATGATATTCTTACAACCTTCTTTGGTACGGCAAAATTTAAATGTTTGGTTCACACTTGGCTAAGTTTCTGGCCAATTTTAAAATTGCAAATTCTTACCCTGCAACTAAACCTTAACCACCGCTCTAATCCAAACCTAATCCCAACAAACGTAGAGCAAATCTTAAGATAATCCTTGTCCCTACCTTGATATATGTAATCCTTACCTAATCTTAGTTTAGTTATAATCCTTGCGCTTACTCTAATAGTAATCTAAACGTAATCCCACTTAATAGCAATCCTAAATTTTTCATCTAATCACTAAATTAATCCCAAACTAACCATACCCAAAACCCAATGTCCTAACCTTAAGGTGGCGCTAATCTAATCTCTGAGCTAATCCTAACCTAATCTAGTTCTTAGCGTAAAGTTAATCTAATTCATACATTTAGCTAAACTAATCCAAAGGCTTTGAAGCCTGATCTAATACTTACCCTTAACCTAATCTTATCCTAATTATCCTTTGTCTTTTCTGTTCATATAGAACTGTATTTTCAACAAGAAATACGACAACACCTCACTCCGTGTGTTCTACGAAGGAAACCTACGTTCTTATGGCAGTCAGGTTTGCAATCGATGGTATTTTACATTTGATGGTGCAGAATGTACAAAACCTGCGACTATTGAAGGAATTGTTTACGTTAAATCGACCCAAATCAACCCCCATTATCACCGCCATATTGAAGGGTACTGTAACCAGGTTCCTAAAGGTCACATACGTGTTGGGTTCTGGATAGGCAAGTGTCAGAGTCATAGTCTCGGAGATGGTTATACTGGATATATTTCGATGTCTCGTATTGTGATTGAAGAAGTACCACCTCCTCAAGCTTAATATCATTCAAGAAAAAAGAGTACTATTCATATCATACTATATAACCAAATTATACAAATATATAACTTTTACGAAAGAGAATTGGAAAATAAAACTGAATTCATTATCAGTTATGTTTCTGTAAGTATCAGATAAAATCAATAAAATACTTTTTCAGCATTATGTTATAGTGTTGATGCATATAAAATAATAAATGGCGAGATTTAATTGCTTCACTGGAGAGTTCAATTAAAGAGCAATGGTTACAGGAAATCAAGGCTGTCTAACGCACAAACCAAGCCTGGTTTTTCCAGCGACCACCCAATCAGCAGAGTGAATTAGATTCGCTAAACGAAAGACCTTGGTTTTCATTCCCGTTTAAACCTGATCAATGCATGTTTACATCGTTCAAATACAAGTTTGGATAACTCATATTTTTAGCTACTATTTACTTAGGTCTGTTTAAGAAAACACAGAACACAAGCAACTAAGCATTCGAATTAATATTTATACGAGTTATTCGCCCATTTATTGAACATGCTCTCTTCTATACTTTCATAAACCGAAACAATAGCAACAAGGCATGTGAGGCATTGGAAGTTGTGAACTGGGTATAAACAAGCTTTATTCAAATTTGTCTATTCTGAAATTTTCAGTAGTCATCATGGTTCAAAATATTCCATGCATATATGACGGCACGCTGTGCAGATGCTAAAAATTAGCCTGATAAATACTCAGTGCCTGCTATACTTTTATTTTTAAGCATGTTAAACCTATCAAAACATTCGAGTACCTATGAGTAACGCTGACACAAGCGGTCCTGGTTAGGTCTTAAATAGCGTGCTATAATAGCGCACTATTTAAGAACATTTCAAGCTTTAACTAAACCTCGTACCCAGGCTCTTCTCCATGGGTACGAGGTTTGGCTTAACCTGGCCCTTGGAAGACCTTGGAATGAGTTTGTTTACGCTGTTTGCTTGATTTACTGATTTGTCAGCCAATCAACGAAAGCGAGAAATCCTGGCCAAGGTCAGGCCAATAGGCTTTGAAGTATAAACACTCTTGAAGGGTTCAAAAATAGCCAAATACCCAATGCCCACCGCTGTTAGCAACCTTTCATCTTTCATCATGCTAACCAATGGAAACTTTCAATAGAAACCCACACAAGTTCATGAACTATACGAAGTTGAAAAAAATCTGCTTGCTAGTTGTACTCTAAATATGAAAATCTATTTCTCAAACTATATCGTATGTGTCAACTGAAATAAGATTTCTATAGAGAAGATCTTTTTGACTCAAGCAATCAGTGTTTTCTTTTGTTATAACTAAACAGAAATACTTGTTGATTAGATATATAAAATCCCAAATCTCCATTACGACGCCAACAGTTTATGATCAAGTTTTACGCATGTTTTTAAAACGAAGGTTTATGAATCAGTGTTTTGCTAAAAGGGGAAGCCAACAAGTTTCCCCAAACATTCTGTACAGCAAGTACAAAAAACAAATAGAAAGAAATACTAAATTATCTTGTACAAGAAAACAGAAGGGAAAATATACGAACATAATGTAATCCGTGTTGGGATTGAATTAAAGTTTACAGAAAACAGATTAATTCCAGAAGCTTTCAATATAATGGCCACAATCTTTTCTGACAAAAGTTAAAACTAATGTTTCCATAAACGTTGGTTTAGCAAATAGTTTTTGTCTAAATGGGTAAATGAACAGAGTCAAACATCCATTCTATATGGCAAGAGCTACTGATAAGTTAAGAGAAATATCAAATTTTCGTGCATCAGAAAACATGAGGGTGAAATATGTAAGGCACCACGTGTAATACGAGTGGTTAAAATGGGAGAGTTTAAAATATTGTGCAAAGGTTCGCAGTAGGATCAGTTGTAGTTGAGCTTCGACAGAAAAGTTTGATAGATATTTTTAAGATGGAGTCTAAATTCGTGATTTTTTTGTTGTGTGTCTTTATGGCTGACATGACTGTGGTTAACAGTCAAGGTAAAAAAACTACGGTGAGTTTGTCGTCTTGTGATATCTAGCCTCCATTGTATTTATGTACGGAATATATTTTCTAATAAACTCAACCTAACTTTATTTACACCAGATAGCTGTATCAGTTCTAATTAAACTGTCCGCTAGTGAAGCCTGCAGATAAGAGCAGTCGTTTATTGTTGGCACTTTATTTTTCCTGCCTTAACATGAATTCAAAACAAACAATCATATGAAATGATTTTATTATGCACTAAAGTCAAACTTTAGTCAATTCATGCAGAGATTTTAGGCCGTTTTTTCTCCGCGACTTTGTCTCCATTTCTATTTTCTAATATAGTACCCATTTCCTCAACTGCGTCTCGAACTGCACACCGTATTCACTCGTTTAGGCCGCGCGGTGCTCTTTTTAAAATGTTTAGTGTTACATGATGCGGCGCTTATTTGAGGGCGGCGACGCTCTTTATGGGGGAACTGATAAATCTATCCAATATATTAAAATTAGTTTCTTTTGTTAAGAGTTTAGAAAGATTTGTTTACAGCTCTTTCATAAAGCAGTGGTCTGCGTCATTATATCACTTAAATATCTTTATCACATATCTTTGTCTTTTCAGGCGACCTGTGGTTCTCCAGGTATCCCAGGAATTCCAGGAAATCCCGGACGAAATGGCATGCCTGGATCACGTGGTTCTGCTGGCGCAAAAGGAGACCCTGGGGAGAGAGGAATTTGTGGTTCTCCAGGTATCCCAGGTATTCCAGGAAGTCTCGGAATAGATGGCATGCCTGGGTCAGAAGGTCCTGCAGGAGCGAAAGGGGAGCCTGGGGAGAGAAAAAGTGATTACGTAGATCTGGTGAAGTCAAATTGGAAACAATGTGTTTGGAAGAGAAGTGATGGCAAAAACACTGGCTTGATACAGGTTTAAGAAATTAATGATTTTATGTATTTAAGTAACAATGTCGAGTGCGTTTTTAAGAAGAACCGCAGGCGAGCCTTATTAAGGTACAGGGATTTTGACATCCTGCTAAGTCCGAAGTTGAGTATTTAAACTGAATTCCGTCAAACGATGTAATTTACATAGTTTTATTTAAAATCTCATTTTAAAATTCTAGTCACTTTAGTGTCCTGTAGAACATCTTTCTATTTAGTAGTTTCTTCTGTGAATGAATGAGTTTGACAAGATATTCTTACGACGTACTTTGGTAGCAAAGCTTAAATGTTTAGTTTACACTTGGCTAAGTTTCCGGCCAATTTTATAACGGCGAATTCTTACCCTGCAACTAAACCTTAACCATTGCCCTAATCCAAACCTAATTCCAACAAAGACCGGCCAAATCTAAAGATAACTCTAGTTCCTAGGATTAGGTAATGATTAAAATTATTATAGTAGTCTAATCATAATCCTGACGGGTTACCCTAATTCTAATCCAAAAGGAATCCCATTTAATTCTAATCCTAATCTTTTCAACTAATCTTTAAATTAATCCCAAACTAACCATACTCGAAACCAACGTTCTAACCTTAACCTAATCCTAATAATCCTAACCGCAATATAATCCTAACTCTGATCCAATCCTAAGCCTTACCGTCTAATTCTTACCGTAAGCATAATGCGTTTCAAGAAGATATTCTTATACAAACCTTAACATGACCCTAATCTAATCCTAACTCAAATCCAATTTTAAGCCTAATCCATACCGTAAGCCTAATCTAATCTTTTTTTTTTAATTAAGTTCGCCCAAAACATTACATGAGATAATATAGTGCTATTGAATATTTAATATTTACAAATGTGTGCTAGGAGCCTACTAAAAACCATATGGCTTTTATTTTAGGCCCCTAGATTATGAATTAAAAATAATTAATAATTAATATAATGTCAGTTCGAATATTTTTTTAAAGAAAATACAAAGTCAAAGGATATACTAATAATATATAAAAATAGTTTGGATGTATATTTACAATACAATTTTGATATTGTATATTATTACAGGGTTATGACTGACATGTTGTATATCAATCTAGCTGTGAGAAGTAGTTTTTGATAATTTTTTTGAAGGAATCATAAGACCTTGGTTTTTTATATTGTTCGGAAAGATTATTCCATACTTTTATACCTTTATTAGCAAGGGTATGTTTTTCATAGTTGGTTCTACTGGACTTTTTGTGTAGCAATGAAGAATTTCTTGTGTTGTGATTGTGAATTTCCTTATTAGTAAAGAAATAATTTGTGAATAATTCTGGCAGATTTTGTAGATGGAAATATCGGAACATGAATAAACTTGTTAAATAATCATTAATTTTGTGTAGATTTAGTATTTTGTAATTCATTAAAAATTGGTTCAGGATGATCAAAATAAGATTTGAAAGTCATTAATCTAACAATTTTTTTTTGCGGTATATTCACTAACTTTTGAATACGAGATTTATAGGTGTTACTCCAGATTAAATTACCATAAGTTAAATATGGTTACCCTTTGTCTGTTCTGTTCATATAGAACTGTACTTTCAACAAGAAATACGACAACACCTCACTCCGTGTGTTCTACGCAGGAACCCTATACGTTCTTATGGCAATAGTGTTTGCAATCGATGGTATTTTACATTTGATGGTGCAGAATGTACAAAACCTGCGACTATTGAAGGAATTGTTTACGTTAAATCGACCCAAGTCAACCCCTATCGTCACCGCCATATTGAAGGCTACTGTAACCAGGTTCCTAAAGGTCACATACGTGTGGGATTCTGGATAGGCAAGTGTCTGAGTGGTAGTCTCGGAAGTGCTCTTACCGGCTGGAATTCCATGTCTCGCATGGTAATTGAAGAAGTACCACCCCCTCAAGCTTAATTATTCAAGAAAAAAGAGTATTATTCTTATTATACTGTATATAACCAAATTATACAAGTATATAACTCTTACAAAAGAAACTTGGAGAAAAAACTGAAATCATTATCAGTTATATTTCTGTAATTGTCGGTACTGTGTTTGATGCTCATGATGTACTGCTCAAATGTATATCACACGAAAATTGGCTTTGCTAAAACTCAAGATTAAATAAATTACTTTATTTTTTTGTAAATCACGGCAGCGGGCGGAATTCTAGCGTTTTCTGCAATCTGATTGGCTGCAGCAACGGGCGGAATTTTACGATATTTGACCACGGTCCGGAATCCTATACGTAATGGCCGAAGCAAAGCAAAATTTAGCCCGCGTGCAGGCCCAAGGGAACTTGATAGTTCCCTTGGGCCTGCACGCGGGCTATCAGTTCCCTTGGGCCTGCACGCGGGCTAAGCAAAATTTTTTTGTATGTTTGTTTTAAAACTGAAAAATATGAACATGTAATTTTGAAATAATTTTAATGATGGATAAAATAATTGTACTGTATTTTAATTGAATTGTTTGTTTTCTAAAGTAAAATAATTAAATATCAAAATTTTTTTATTGTTTTGTTTTCTATATGCGCAATCTAATAAAACCGTTGCCATTTGCCTCTGAGTCTTCGACAAAAAAATAAATACGTTATTTACCGTTTAGGTCGATCCGGATAGAAAAATATTTTGTCTCGGTCACAAAAACGTCCCTCGGCCTTCGGCCGTTTTTGAGACCTCGACAAAATATTTTTCTTTATTTCTTCAGCATTACATTATAGTGTTGATGGGATAATATTTACCGAATTTTAATTGATTCACTGGAGAGTTCAATTAAAGAGTAATGATTACAGGAAGTCATGCCTGTCTAACGACCAAACCACGCCTGGCCGGTCTTTCCAATGACCACCCAATCAGCAGAATGAATTAAGTTCGCTAAACAAAAGACTTTGGGTTTCATTCCCGTTTAAACCTGACCAATGCATGTTCACATCGTTCAAATACAAGTTTGGATAACTCATATTCTTAGCTACTATTGTTTCGGTTTAAGAAAACACAGCCGAGCAAAAGCAACTAAGCTAGCATTCGAATTAATATGTATACGAGTTATTCGCCCATTTATTGAACATGTTCTCTTCTATACTTTCATAAACCGAAACAATAGCAACAAGGCATGTGAGGCATTGGAAGTTGTGAACTGGCTATAAACAAGCTTTATTCAAAGTTGTCAATTCAGAAATTTGCAGCAGTTATTATGGTTCAAAATATTCCATGCATATATGACGGCACGCTGTGCAGACTTTAAAAATTAGCCTGATAAATACTCAATGCCTGCTAAATTAAGGTACACTTTTATCTTTAAGCATGTTAAACCTCTCAAAACATTCGAGTACCTTCAATAAACAATGACACAACGCTTAACTAAGCTTTTCAACTATACGAAGTTCAAAATTCTGCGTGCTAGTTTTGCCATACTGGAAAACGGAAACCTATCTTCTCTAACAATACCTTATGTGCCAACATAGATTTCTGTGGAGAAGATCTTTTTTCCTCAAACAATCAGCGTTTTCTTTTGTAATAACTAAACAGAAATACTAGTTGACTTAATATATAAAATGCTTGCATTATGACGATAACAGTTTATAATTAAGGAGAAAATATGTTTCTGAAAACTAAGGTTTACCAATCAATTTTTTGCTAAAAAGGGAATCCAACAAGTTTCCCCAAACATTCTGTACATCAAGTACAAAAAACAAATTGAAAAAAATGCCAAGTTATCTTGAACAAGAAAGCAGTAGGGAAAATATACGAACATAATGTAATCCGATTTGGAATCTGCAAAGTCGGACCGTTTATTGTCTGATTTAAAGTTTACAGAAAACAGATTAATTCCAGAAGCTGTCAATAATGACCACAATGTTTTCCGATAAAAGTTAAAACTAATGTTTCTATGAATGTTGGTTTAGCAATTAGTTTTTGACTAAATGGGTAAATGCACCGAGTCAAACATTCATTCTATATGGCAAGAGCTACTGATAAGTTAAGAGAAATATCAAATTTTCTTCCATCAGAAAACATGAGGGTGAAATATGTAAGGCGTGGTGTAATACGAGTGGTTAAAATGGGAGAGTTTAAAATATTGTGCAAAGGCTCGCAGTAGGATCAGTTGTAGTTGAGCTTCGTCAGGAAAGTTGGAAAGATTAAGATGGAGTCTAAGTTCGTGATTTTCTTGTTGTTTGTCTTTATGGCTGACATGACTTCGGTCGTCAACAGTCAGAGTAAAACTACGGTGAGTTTGTCGTGTTATGATATCTAGGCACTAGGGTTTACGTATGGTACATTTACTGGTAATTTAAGCTATAGCGAACATTTAATCATTTATATTGGACAGCTGTATCAGTTCTCGCTAGAAGACAAGTCTATCAGTCCTTATTGCTCCCGTGTTATATTACAATAGGAAACCTAAAGTAAACTACGTTATTTAATACTGCCGCGTACAGGATATCTCGATCAGTTCTAAACTGTTGTCCCTTCACGTTTAGAATAAGGACAATCCCTTATTGCCCCATGGAGTGTAAGCTCAGCAATAGATTTACTGCGGGAGTGCAGGGGTGTGGGCAACACACTCTGGATCTGGCACGATCAATCCATGTGTTAGCTACTAGACGAGCTACCTAATTAACCAAACTCATTTTATTTATACTAGACGTTTGATAGCTCTTTGAGTTCTGTCGAAGCTGTTTTCGTTCAACTTCCAGTATAAGGACCATCTTGTGTTGCTAATTGTGTTATTATATCCTCAACAAATCTTTGTCATTTTTTATTAGTCTTCTCAGGTGACCTGTGGTTCTGCCGGTATCCCAGGTATCCCTGGAATTCCAGGAAATCCCGGAAGAGATGGTATTCCGGGGTCACGTGGTCCTGCGGGAGGGAAAGGGGAGCCTGGGGAGAGAAGAGATGATTACGTAGATCTGGTAAAGTCAAATTGGAAGCAATGCGTTTGGAAAAGAAATGATGGCAAAGACACTGGCTTGATACAGGTTTAATTAAGAAATTAAGGATAATATTTATTTAAGTAACAGTTCCAACATGAGATAGAGAACATTACTGGGATTTCAAAGTCCAAGTGCGTTTTTAAAAAGAATCGCGGACCAGCCTTAGCTGCTTAGGCCCCAGTTACACGATACCGGATTCGTATCGGAGCGACATCAATTCAAGGTGTTTTCCAGTCATGTCTGCTATTACAACTTTTCATATATGAAGTTTTTGTTTAATTACCTCCGCCAGGAGGTTATGTAATCATCTGGGTTTGTATGTGTGTGTGTATGTGTGTGTGTGTGTGTGTGTGTGTGTGTGTGTGTGTGTGTGTGTGTGTATGTGTGTGTGTATGTGTGTGTGTATGTGTGTGTGTGTGTATGTGTGTGTGTTTGTCTGTGAGCACGATAACTCAAGAAATACCAAACATATCCGTACGAAATTTTTTGAATGCATTTCCCATCGGCTAAGGAAGAACTGATTAAAATTTGGTTGAATTTGGTTAAAAATTGAATGAGAAATAACAAAAGTTTGTCTTGCTTTTCCCGGTCAATTAAATAAAACTTTATACTGAATGCGTAATTAGGACGTGCATAATATATGCACCAGCCATTCAAATTCTAATAACAATAGATTACTTCAATATTTTGCGCGTAGGCGGAGGTATGCAGTCTCTGAGTGCCCTCTAGTTATGTTATGTTATCATATTTTAAGTGCCAAATTCATCTCGAAGCAGTAAAATTGGATGTCGCTCCAATGCGAGTCCGGTGTTGTGTAACTGGGTCGAGTATTTGAACTGACGTCCGTCAAACGTTGTAATTTATAGTTCTGATTTTAAAGTTCTAGTACTTTAGTTCACTGTAGGAGATCCTCCTTTAGTTTCTTCTGTGAATTAATGAGTTTGGGAAAATATTCTTACGACCTACTTTGGTAGCAAATTTTAAATGTTTAGTTCACACTTGGCTAAGTTGCTGGCCAATTTCTAAACTGCGCATTCCTACCCTGCAACCAAACCTTAATCATTACCCTAATCCAAACCTATTCGGAACAAACGTAGACGAAATCTTAAGATAATCCTAGTCCCTACCCTGATATATGTAATCCTTACCTACTCGTAGTCTAGTTATAATCCTTGCGGCTTACTCTAGTAGTAATCCTAACTGAATCCCACTTTTTTCCAATCCTAAACTTTTCATCTAATCACTAAATTATTCCCACATTAACCTACTCAAACCCAATGTCCTAACCCTAAGGTGACCCTAATCTAATCCTATCTCTGATCTAATCCTAACCTAATCTAATTCTTACTGTAACCTTAATCTAATCCTTACATTTGTCTAATCTAATCCTAAGCCTTTAAAGCCTCATGTAATCCTTACCCTAAACCTAATCATAAGTTTATCGTAATTACCCTTTGTCTGTTCTGTTCATATAGAACTGTATTTTCATCAAGAAATATGACAACACCTCACTCCGTGTGTTCTACGCAGGGAACCTACGTTCTAATGGCAGAGCTGTTTGCAATCGATGGTATTTTACATTTGATGGCGCAGAATGTACAAAACCAGCGACTATTGAAGGAGCTGTTTACGTCTCCCCATCCCAAGCCAACCCCCATCGTCACCGCCATATCGAAGGCTACTGTAACCAGGTTCCTAAAGGTCACATACGTGTGGGGTTCTGGATAGGCAAGTGTCAGGGTAGTAGTCTCGGAGATGGTTATACTGGTTCGTATTCCATGTCTCGTATTGTGATTGAAGAAGTACCACCTCCTCAAGCTTAATATCATATTATCATTCAAGAAAAATAATTTATTTAAATTATACTATATGACCAAATTATACAAGTATACTCGGACTTTTACAAAAAGACTTTGAGAAAATTATATTTGTAATTGTTGATGTAATGTTCATTGTCAGACAAAAAAATCGTTTGTTAAAGTTTAAGATTAAATAAATAATTTCTTTAACGTTACATTAAAATGTGATAAAAGAAGAAAGTTTCAAATAATTCACAGGAGTGTTTTATTGAAGAATGGTAATTTTAGTCTTTTTAGATCAAGAGTGCATGCTTGCGTGACGTACAAATTAAACCGCACGGAAAATATTGAATTGTAAAGTAAAGTATTTCAAAAGCATACTGTTTTTCTTTGGCGTTCTCTCTCTTTACTAAAACCCTGGGGCCGGTTGTATAAAACTTTGAACTCTTAACTGGAAATCCAAAATAGAAGGAAATATGAAGAACATTTCGAAAAACGAAAGGAAAAAGAGGCAAATTTCATGTTTAACAGTATTTGCGCCCCAATTGACACCTCACCCCAACATTATAACTAGACTTTGCTGCTTGTTGCACACCGAACCTAATGAACTTCCTTCCACGTTTCATGAGTCATGTCAAGTCTTTAGAAAGGGTTTATTTTGGTTTATTTTGTGTGCTGGTGATCAATTAGGTTGAAGAACACTAAGTGCGTGCATCAGCCCAGCAATGACACAGGTTTATTGTCGTATGGAACAAGTGAAATTATTCTTATTTTATAAATAGTCGCAATCAGCTTCTAATTTCACAAAATATTTTCCATGTCATGCTATTGAAAGTATTTCACCTCCGAAGATATTTTATCGTGACGCTAAATAGTCTAAACTAGCATGAGAGTAAATATAGCAACCTAAAATGGATCGTGTTTTGGGATTGGCTTCATAAAAATACTGATCAGTGTTGATGACTCGTTCTTAAGAAAGGTAATTTATATTGTTCATTGTCTTTTATTGTTATGATCAACCTGTCAAAATCTCAAATAGATTGGTGGCGACCCCTAGCAATGCTAGCATAGAGCCACAGAGTACTAATCGTTTCATGCCTGTTTTATACGTCTAATTTCGGTCGCGTCGAATGCAATTCAAACAATAGATAATGAAGCTTTAATGAGGTTTATCATCTCATCTATTGTTTGAATTACATATTTCGACGCGACCGAAATTCGACGTACAAAACAGGCCTCAATTCGCGAGAAAAACGTAAACAATTAGAACTTAACTACCATTTGTAAAGTATAATACAGTTATTAAAAGTAAAGCTAGTTATAGTTACCGTGCGTTCTTGCTTCAGTATTTGAATTCTTCTGGTAAACCTGAACAAATTGCTTCTCCTCCGGCCGAGCCTCCGGCCGTTTGCCGGCGTCGTGTTTGTTTTTATATCAGAAAGAACGGCTGTAGTTCCTGGCATTCCTCCAGTACAACGGCTTTGAATGGCTTCCAAATAATTTGTTGTCCACACACTTTTCTTTTAAAACTTTTAAATACTCGGGTTAATATACTTTAACTACTTTAAACAGTGAATTTAAGCTCCCTATATGTAGTTAATTTCGCCCAACTTCGAAGCTCGGTGGCAGTTGCCACCAAAATTCAAATCGACAACGAAGGAAAGCCCTTGTTTTTATTGGTTGCAGAGCCTTCACGTGACCCAATGCTGGTATTGGTATCTGTTCTTTGAGCTAAAAAGCATTCAGATTGACTAATTTTTAAAAAAATGTTCTAAAATTCTACAGATTTTTGGATATACAGTGAGTGTTTATACATTAAACTGTAGATAGACTGAATCTTCAGTTAAGTACTTGCATGGTATGTTTATACTTTATAGTACCACAACAAGTGACATTACCTATTTATTAGACGTTAGAGTATGCGGAGTGCGGACCATTGATGCGGAGATGCGGACACGATCAGTGCTTCCACTTTCGAAAGTTAGAAATTCTAGTTTTTTTTTCAAATAGATGAGTTCATTGGCATAAACTTTTGTGTTTACTTTTTAACTAAAGTTCATTTCAAACAGCAAAGAAAAATCATTTCTATCTTTTTACCGAGTTAGATTTTCTCTAAAATTGCCCATCTTCATGGCAGGGAAACAAAGTAAAGAAATCAGTTTCATTTCAAAAGCATATCTGCTGTCGTACAACATCGTGCAAACTCTGGGGTGAGTGATTGCGCAATTTCCAGCATGTGAATCTACAAATATTTTGTATTGCCGATATTTATATGTGTTATATTGTTGTGTAATGATTACTATGCGTCTTAATACGTAAACAAAGCTGTTCTTGGACAATGTTTGATTTCTAAAATTGCAACAATGTAATGTATTAAAGTCTGGGGGGGGGGGATAGGACATCATTGGTCAAAAAGTTGAAATTTGGGTAGCTTTCAGTTTTGCCAAATAAAAAAGTAGTACTGTCACACTCACACATATATTTTTGTCAACAAATAATATTCATTTTAGGCGACAATTTGTTCTGAGCAATTTGCAAATCAATATTGCAACATTGCGTCACATTACATCCGGTTTGACTGTAATACACGCTTCCGGAAAGTACGTCACCTTGGCTATAGAGCCTCGTTTTCATGATTGAGACGTGGACTTTAACTGATGTCACATACACGAAAACGAGGCTCTACAGCCAAAGTGATGTACTTTCCGGAAGGGTGTATTATTGTAATACATGTATAAATACATCAACAATAGCCAACAATTACATCACAATTTGTCTCTCCTTGACCTGAAAGCCTCGTTCTCATGATTTTTTAAAGCATGGCTTCAAGTCTAAGGAAGTATAAAGTTGTGATGTGAATATTCCAAAGGGGGTTTTGCCATGCAGTCAATATGAAATGAACATTGTGCTATACATTGTCATAGCCTATCAAGATATGATGATCTGGAAATTAGACAGAAGTCATTGTGAATTATGTTTTTGTCTGAGTTGATGTTAATTTGTGCACGGTCACTGTGATTGAGCCATAGATATCTTATATACACTAGATAGCGCATCTCTTTTAGTAAAATTGAAGCCAAGAATATTCCAGCGGTTACCCCCATTTGAATAGATGGCGGCCATGTTGGTCATTCCCACTTGCTAATAAACGCTTAAAAACAACAATAGCTTTCATCATTTGAATAGTTTGAAAATGTATTTGGAATAGGTTTAACTTAATGTTTAAGTTCCCTGTTTAAGAAATGGAAAACATACGAATCTTCTCATTTCATGGGAACGACCTGAGACTGCAATCACGGCTTCAATTTTTGAATTGCAGAATAATTAGATGCACTATCTAGTTTATATAAGATATCTATGGATTGAGCTCATTATTTTCATATAATACAGTAGTCGTTCAATTAAGATCGAGATAGCCGAGATTAAACGTGCAACCACAAAGAATAATATTTAACAAAATTGAGACAAAGGATTTGTGCAAGGTGAGGTTCAATGTGTGCCAGGCTTCTAGATCATATCATATTTTAACATCGACTATATGATCTATTATCATATATATTATTGTACGTTCCAGACGTTCTTAATTTGATAATTTTTTCTTCTGCAGATGGTCGTACATATTTGTAATTTCTTGTCAACATTTTATGTCTCAAAATGCCATTACTTCCAAAGGACTATTTGCCAAAGTTGAAGTCATTCTCAAGTTATTCCAAACTGCAGCAATATTAGAGGTATTCATGATAATTATATCAAATATATTTTAATTAAATTTAAATTAAACTATTGATCTAGCAGTAACAGTTAATTATATGTTTGTTATATTATGAAACAATTTTACTTTTTTAATTCAGTTACATTGACCCTTAGTTTATTTGACTTTTATATTTGATTAATATGCTACTTTATTGTACGTATTTGTACATATTTATTCTTCTCCTGTGTGTTTCATTATTTTTCTGCTGTTGTAAAGCTGCATTTCATTTTTCTTTAGATCATTCATTGTGCAATAGGTAAGCTATCCCTTTTGAAATTATTGCAAGAATTCCAATAGGACATAAATTAATGAGACAAGTGTTATATACATGATAGTGTACTGTACTCAAACATATTTAAAATTAGTCCCCCCCCCTGTTTCCTTCTGTAGTGATTATAACAGCTATAACGTCAACCTTATTCCCTTCCTCATATTTATGAGTATATTCTTTAGTTTAGTATCTAGTATTTGTTTATCAGTATGAAAGGTTGTAAATTAATAAATAAAGAGATTAATAACTGCACCAATTCTAAAGGAGAGGAGTTTAATTAACAGATGGTAGGACCAGTATCAATAAAGTTCTTGTAGTTTAGGAATTAGGATATCCTCCAGTATATACAATAAAACTGTAAAGTAATCTGTTATGTTTTAGGTATTGTACCATCATCAGCTTTCACAACAGCCATGCAAGTTTTCTCTCGATTATGTACAGTATGGTTGTTTACTGTACCGGACAAAGAGGTTGGCTCAAAGAAGGTTTACCTCTGATTATGTAAAGGCTGCTGTCTGTTTATATTCCTGTAACCAACCCCAAATATGAATTTTGTATTTTGTATTAAAAAAAAATCTGACTAGATATTAATAATTTGAAATCTAAAGAAATTTTATATAGAAGCTAAAATCTCCATCTTGATCACGTTTCTTACTGCCATGATATCATTGGATGATGGCTGTAATCCATGACAGTGAAAAAGCTGATAACGATGGGGGTGATAAAGCTGCCCAATCTTTATTTCCAAATTTATCATTTTTATCTCCAATTTTAGCATCTTCATCACCATGCAACGTCATCATCTTGAACTTCATCATCTTGATCTCCAACTTCATCGTCTCCAACTTCACCATTTTCATCTCCAACTTCACCATTTTCATCTTCAACTTCACTATTTTCATCTTCAACTTATTATCTTCATCTCCAACTTCGCCATTTTTATCTTTAACTTCACCATTTTTATCTTTAACTTTATCTTCCTTTCAAGAGTGAGATAAAAGAGATTTAATGTTTTGCCATGTTTCGTTTTAGGTACAGAATAACACAAGTATTTTGCTGTATCTAACGGCGTGGACAATCACAGAAATTATTCGATATTCATTTTACGCATGTGGTTTACTCAATTATTTGCCATATTTTTTGCCATGGTGCAGGTGGGTGAGCAAAACGTTTTAACCAACGCTTTTAAATACTGAAGTGCATCCCATTAAATCGGGCATCAGGTAACATGTAACATGAGAGAATTTCTACCAATTTCTTCCATGAAAAGTATATTTTCTTTGCTCCTTCCTCTTATGTTCATGATCACGCCGTTTATATACCAAAGTACAGCTGTAATTAAGCTCAGCAGCATTTTTTTGAGGCTACTAGATTTTGATATATATCATGACTCTGATTGATTTACAGTACATTGACATATGACTGTTGACATCGCTTTTTAGTTTTCAATATTTGAGCGAGTCAAGCTTCGGAAAGGACAATACATTTTTATTACTCAACCCTTGAGTTGTACCGGTATTGTTTTTCATTTACCCAACCTTTTACTCACTGAAATTTTGTTTACCCAACCCTTTTCTCTTCGGTGCCAACCCCCGCCATAAATAATGACCTGTCCCTGAATTATAACTTTTCCCTCTTTTTATTTTAGGTATACATTTTTTATAATACTGTACCCGATTGGTGTAACGGTGAGTATATAGAATAGGCTCTTTGCAGTTTAACAGTTAAAAATAACATGTTCAAAATTTCAAGTGATTTCGTTCAACAGTTGTGAAAATATACATGATTTTTTCCGAATATATTGATCAGGAAAAACGATCATAAGTTATCTCTTTTTGGATTTCACACAAGTAGCAAGAACAACGAAGCCTTCAAAAGATTTTGTACAATTTCAGGTTTAAGCGGAATAAAATATTTTGGTTCATACGCACTTTGCTCGTGCCTTTTATAATGGAACGTTGATACTATAAATAAGCTTTTACCATTACATTTGTGAAAAATTCAATTTCATTTAAATCCATTTTACTGGTTTTCTACTGTAGGGTGAAATTCTGACTGTTATTGCTGCCATACCGTTTGTAAAGAAGACTGGTATCTACTCTCTGTCTCTCCCAAATCCGATGAACATCTCATTTTCTTTCTTGTATTTCCTTTACTTTGCCCTGGTTATTTATCTGCCAGGTTTGTAGAACATTTCGTATTCTTGTTTATTTTTTAATTCATAGTTTTGTTTGAATCTGTCCACTTTCCAAGAGCTCAACACCCTAACCCAAGCCTAAAGGCCATGTTACACGGTGCAATTTTTCTTGCAACTTGCAATGCAATTCTACTCTTGAGAGATGTTAAAACATCATGCAAGTTGCAAGAAAAATTGCACCGTGTAACATGGCCTTAACACACGTGATGGTGAAGGACCAGATTTATGAACAAACGTTGACTGACATAGATAATGAGTTATATTGTTATTGTAATGATTTCACAGTCATCTTCCCTGGTCTTGTTAACCCAGTAAGCTGCAATGCGCGTTAAATTGCGTCCTACTTTATTTTTTTCTCTGTCTAACGCCAGACGATTTTACTGGTCAATTAAGGGCGAGTCTTACGCATTAATGAACGAATCTTCTATTTTACAGCGTTCCTTATGTTGTATACCTACATGTTTCGTCAAAGGAAGAAAGTTCTTGGAAAAGCCACCCAGACCTCAGCTAAACTGGACTGACATTCTATAACTACAGTTTCTGTACTTCGTTTTAGAAAATATCACAGGATCATAAATTATTGTTAAAAATTATTATCTTATAAAACAACATTTCTTCGCTATTTTTAGTCCAATAGACTTCACTGTTTACTGCACTTTTGCCTCAATGGCCTCGTTTCCATGTTTGTCTGTTTTGGCATGGCAGGCGACGGATATCTTTCTCTTTAATCTTGAGCTCAATCGCAAACCTACACACGTAAAAATGCACAAGTTGTAACAAACCTGCAGCAGACTTGTAGTAAGGCTGTTCCAACAACTTGTCAACGGGATGTGTTCGCACTGCTTGTTCCCAGCTTGTTGGTATCTTGCTACAAAGTTGTTGAGCTCAACAGACTTGTTACAACTTCTACAACCTGTAATTCAACAATTTTTTCGACTAAATTGTGAGTGACAACCTTGTAGCAACTTGATATTATATAACAGCATTGTTACAACTTGTTGGCAAGCTTGCTACAAGCCTGTTGCGAACACATCTTGGCGACAAGTTGTGAGTTTCATACGTGTAAACGAGGCCATTAGGGCAACAACAAACAGTGCAGTCTATTAAATTACTCAGTAGACTTTAATTAACAAATTGGAAAGTCATCTAAAATATATGATTTAAAAGTATTGTTATTTAAAACGTATTGTAATAAAGGGCCTTTATTTTACTTCCGAAAAGTACGTCACTTTCACTATAGAGCCTCATTTTCGTGTATCTGACATCAGCGCTCAATCGCGAAAGCGAGGCTCCATATATTTCATGGACAGAATGCACTATCCAATTTTAGTACTTGGATCAGTGAGCTTGTTCGGGGATTCTCGGCTAACGATCGTAAAACGTCGCACTTTGCATAATTTGTCAAAATGGCCGAATTTTCTATGAGTGTTCCAAAGTTTGTAAAGCTGTTTTATGCATTAATCGGTGGCTAGATCTTGATATAACAATGAAAATTCCTCCAAGGTGGTTAAATTGTCCTAGGAAAAGTAATCTGATTGCAGGTATCTGTGTTTTTTTAGTTTTCTCATGAGCTGTAGTAAATTTGTGTCGTGTCATCAAATTTTGTATAATTAAGTACTGTACGAGTACGTAATAATGTGTCACGACATTAATATATGTACCCTATGTATACTATTAATAATATGTTAGTATAAGTATAAATTTTGAACATGACAATGCTGTTCGATAATCAAATATGTGCCCTTTATATGTTCAAAATTTATGTTTATACTAATATATTTAATAGTTTCACTTTTATAATTAATCCATTTATGCCCTGGGTATTTCCATGTAAACTCAATGCCGGAGATACGCCAGCATTTGCACTTGATCACGCCAGTATATCAATACTTTGCGGGGCAGCCGGGGCAAAACCCATGTCAAAATAGACAATCCTATATGCTTGTAAAGATTGTAAAGTAGATCTTGTACCAATATGCCAACTACTTTGAGTAATCTCACACCAAATCACCAACAATATTATAGGGGAGCATGCCCTGACAACTCGACTTGATAAACCTAAAATCCTAGTTTTAAAGGGCCTGATGTCCAATTTCTTCAGAAAATTTATGAAATTCCGTACAAAACGGCCGCCATTTTGGTTTTTGCAAGCAGTGTTTCCACTTTTTAAAACTGGAATTTCCTTGAAATTTTCAAGAATGAAATTTGTGAATCAATTTTTTCCTCCCTAAATATTTGAACCCTGACGTTGTTTTGTTTAGATCGATTTCTTGCATTTAAAACATTCCTGGATGGTCGTTATGACGATGACGTGCCAGAAGCAAACAGATGGCAATTGTCGATGCTGTTAGGTTACCTCAATCGATATAAGGTATTTACTAAAGTCATATTTTGATGCCTTGCCTTGCTTATATTTTTATGTAGTGATTGACCGATAATCGGCATCGGCTAATTTTTGCATTATTGGTGAACAATATCGGAATCGGTAGAAGTATCTATATTTCCGATTGTTTAATTTACAGATTGTTGAGAAAATACACACTTTAAAAATTATATGGCAAAAGTTTTAAAAGTTCCCATGCAAGAAAGTTTTGTTTTATTCAAATGAGTTACAGACTTACAGTACAGTGTATATCATTCTATTTTTCTGTCATTCACTACAGAAAACCCTTGGTTTGGTTATTGATTTAACAAACACTGATCGATTTTATGACAAGAATGAGCTGGAAGAAGCTGGTATTCAATACATGAAATTAAACTGCAAAGGGTAAGCTACTTTACAGTATTGTAATTGTTGGCCATGGTTGGCTCATTAACCCATTAAGCACCAGTGAGTGCTTTCCCCTTGATGAGTAAAATCATCTGGCATTATAGTAAAATAATAAAGTGGGGTGCATCAGGCCGCAATGTGACTCGATATGTTAACTAGACACATTAGCAGATAGGCCATGCAGTTAACCCAAGGGCATGCAGTGCTCTCTAGCTCCTTGATGAGTAAAATCATCTGGCATCAGACAGAGTAAACTAATAAAGTAGGGCGCATCAGAGCACAATGTGACTTAATGGGCCATTACAGAAAACATCCATACCACCCCCACAGAGGAAATAGGAAGTTACCCCCCTACCCCCTTCAGATGTCCAAATACATTTACTATTATCAGAAACAATTTTGTCTCCCCTCCCCCTCCGGACGGCAGAAATTTTCTCTGTGGGGGGGAGTATGGATCTTTTCTGGAACGACCCAATGGGTTAACCCATTAAGTCGCATTGTAGATGCTTTGTCGCTTGTTTTATTGTAATAAATGTCACTGTCACATTTAAAGGTGATCTACAGTCCGATCTGCGCATGTGCACAAATGAGCCCACTTTTTATGATACAAACAGTTTAACTATGTTTTGAGTTCTTGAAAAGCCCGATTGTTGTTTCTTGATCATTTAATTATACTCTAGAAGGTTGAAAATATAAATAGTTGTCGAATAAAGCTCAATATTTTGGACACAAAGATGTAAACAAAGGCTTTGTTTACATACGGACTGTAGATCACCTTTAACCTATTTAAAGAACAAGTTGCAATTTGTTGCTTTTTTCCAGTTGTTGTTTGTTGCTCTTTTTAGATAGTTTGTCATATCTTTCAGTGGTGTAACTTTACTTTTTTGACCACTTGCCCTCAGGGCAAGTTGGACATGAAAGTTAGTTGCCCGGAATAAAATTCACTTGCCATCTGACAATGGCCACTCGGGTATAATTAAGGGGACAACATGTCGGCCTGTTCTCCCACTGCTCGATATATGGCTACTGTAGTGTTATGTACTGCCTCAGATCTAGCTTTGGCCCACAAAACAAAATTTGAATCAAGTACATGCACTATAAAGAATGTATATCCGACAATGAAAACTTAAAGATTCCCAGCTTTTTGTGGCAAGGCAACTTGCCCAATCGGGCAAGCAAGATAAAACGTTTACTTGCCGGTCATGATATTCACTTGCCCCGGGCAAGCATACAGGCAAGTATTAAGTTACACCTCTGTCTTTTTAAGGAATGTCGCCTGTTGGTCATAACCCCCTGTTGGGCCTCTTTTGCTTGTCAAAACGAGAGCACTAGCTGGTTTTCAAAGGTTTATATAATTAAAATAAAGTTAACAGCCGATGAAAATATTAGATCTTCTTCTGTTTTTGTAGCCGTGGTGAAGCACCCACAGAAGAACAGGCATTTGATTTTATCAGAGCATGTTCAAAATTTTGGAACGATTATCCTGGAAAAATCATAGGTACATTGTTGTTATCAACTTGTTAAATATAGAAAAAATTATAAAGCAAATTTGTTATATGTATTTTAGGCGTTCATTGCACACATGGTTTTAATCGGACTGGATTTTTAATTATTTCATATCTTGTTCAAGTTTTTGAATGGAGGTAAATATTTATGTATGATTAACATACAAATTAATAAATTTAAAAATTAACTAATTTTTTTTAAATAATTATTTAGTCAATAAATTCATTTTTTTTTCAATTTGTTTATTTCAGTTTAGAAGCTGCTTATCAAGCTTTCATTCAGGTACTTTTTTTCAGTACAAGCTTTCATTCAGGTACACTAAATTTTGATCTAGGCAAGAAGAACAAAATCCATCACCACAGCTAGAAAGAGCATGTTAAAATTAGTAAAATTGCAAAGTTTAGCCGCGAAATGTTGTAAAATGCGGAAAATATAGCCCTGCGAAATTTGCAAGCGCGGAAATACCCATGTATTTTTCTGTTTATTATATTCAAAACAAAATTCAGTGAAAAACAATATAAACAAAATTCAGTGAAAAACAATAAAACGTCCGTGGCAATGCCTTTTACAACAAATGATATTTTCACACGTAAAAATATCGTATTTTTTACGTGTGTTTAAATACGATTTTTCTCAGTGGCCAAAAACTCTTCTATATAACACTTATGTTTATATAATAATAATTTGTATTACGCACGGGAAAATGCACCACATTCGGCCCTATCACGCATGCTTAATTCGTACAATTGTACCTAATTTCCATGTTGTTATTTTACGTTTTTTACAACAACAATATGAGCTCAAACTGCGTTTTATTAAACTTTCAAATTCCGCGTGCAAGCTATTTTTAATGCTGCTAAAAAAGACACCCCCCTGCTCTGGAAAATTTATCTTCACGAAAATATTTTGTTTATTCTACATTATAAGTACCCAAACAATCTATATTTATCAAAAAATTCATGAGATTAACGGATTTATGAAATTGAGAGCCGTTTCAAAATTGTCTATTTTTTTTTACACATCCTGTTGTCTGCGGAACCCAGACGCCATTTCCTGTAATTGTTTGTTGTGTGTTTCTCAGAGTCGAACACCGGGTATCTACAAGCAACATTATCTCGACGACTTATGTAAGCGTTATGACGAGGGCGAAAACCTGCATGCACCCGAATTGCCTGAGTGGTGCCTGGAAGAAGACGAGGGGAGCGATAACGAGGCCGAGAATGGTGGTCACGAAGATGGCGATGGTAGCAGATCTGACGGAAGTCGGAAAAGACCTCGAAGAGAATTTAAAACTGGCGTAAGTTTAATTTAAGAATTGTCTGAATTGTCTTGTTCAAGACCAAAAGTCTTTTTGGTGTTCCTCTCAAAATTACTTTGTTGTAGCTTTATTTTGTAGTTAGCAACCTTTTTAAATGTAATTAGGAATTCTATTCATTAAGTAATTTTGCATGCGTAATTAAGATATTTGATGAAAACACTAGTGACTTTTCATCAAGTTTCACCGGGTTATCCAAATGGCATCTTGTGATCAAATAGGTGATTATCATTGGCTGAATTTCTCATGAATTATTAATGAATTTGAAAAGTAACAGTGAATTCTTCTCTACAGTAACTCAGTTGGTAAAACATTAAATCTGTTTGCTTACAGGAAGCGAAATTCATGGACGGTATTTCAGGGATAACCGTTGCCCCTCAACCGACATTTGGCGACATTCAACGTGCTGTTCAGGATATCTGTGGATGGGACAGGTAACATCAGATGCTAACAGCTGATTTTTCGTTTTGTATATACAGTGTTGTCAAAAGAGCAAAACGCATTTGTATATATAGGTAATAAAATGTGGTTTCAAGTGCATTTTTGAAAAAAACCTGCACAAGGTTTTTGAAGACAATTAAAATTTCACGAGTGAAAATGAAAAAATTGGAGAAGCAAATTCATAGTTACTTGCTTGTATGAAACGAAATAACTAAGTTATTTTCTTACTCGTTTGAATAATACAGCAACTATAATCAAGTTTGCGACTGTCTGGGGCTTATAAATCACAGTGGACATTTCTGAGCTCATCTAGTTAGTTTACATAGCATTTTGTTTAGCTAGGTAATCGAGTCGTTCAGTGCAAATCAACCTTATGGCATTTATTTTTTGTATATCTGATAGAGGTGGTTTTCCAGGCAGTCAACCCGTGTCAATGGACGTCAGTAATATTAGGTTTCTACATGATAAACTTTATCGTGTCACTTGGAAGGCTGACGGAGTCAGGTAACTCATTTGACTTTGACCTCCTGTTCAATAAGTTATTGCATGCACACAAAAAATTGCCAACGATATTGTAAGAAGGCTGCTTTGCATGCACCATTACTTAAAATTTCTGTGATCACAGTAGAAATTTTGCACAGATAAATTCTGAAACGTTTTCATGGATTTGTAAAAAGTTCCGCTGTGTTTAGTTTTTGAGATGTGAATTAATGTTTCAGATATTTGATGTACATCAAGGGACGTCATGAGATATATTTGATAGATAGGGATAATGCTGTATTCGAAGCACCTCAACTCACGTTCCCACAGAGGAAATCCCCACATGCTCACGTTGAAGACACTTTGCTTGATGGGGTAAGTTTATAGGAACAAAACAATGTACTGTCCAGTGCTTGCCCCGACCTGAAGACAAGCTAGAACCACTGAATAAAAGCTCGTATCAGGCAAGCATAGGGCGAACATTTAATCCCTTTCTGCTTTTAAAATTTAACGAGAAGTCATTCTGTTGTGCCTTGTTTAGGAATTGGTGATGGACAAGAACGAAGATAAATTGACGCCAAGATATCTTATTTATGATATAGTTCGCTTTCAGGTAACCAAGACGAAGCAATTTTGTAAATTTGGTACAAATCCTATATTTTAGACATGTCATTATCGAGGTAACTTATTACTATATGTTTATCGCGTGTGTGTAGAAAGTCAATTTGAAAATGGATTTGAAATTCTGCAACTTTTTAACATTTTATATGATTCAGTAGCAGAAATAATTACATGATTATAGTTCCTGCATTCTGCAAAACATTATAAAGCAGTTGCAGCCATTTGCCTGGCCACACCTAGAGAAATTTGCACTCCCTCCCAGAAATTTAAATGCTCATTGGATTAAATGACAGTTGTGTGATTGAAATAAGATTTTGAAGTAAACCAATAATCTCAAAATTTCTCAGGTCTTCGCCCCCTCACCCCCAACTTTGTCCACATTAGTGACTCTACCCCCAGGGTAGGCCCCGCTCCCTCACTTCTCCCTCCCCCGAATTTTCGCCCCTCCTCCCGAGAAAAATCTGAAAATCCGTGTATGCTTTAAAATGTTCCAGGGTCACGCGCTTGGCAAAATGTCTCATGACGTAAGGACGAGGTGTATCGATGTAGATATAGTTCAGCCAAGAAATAAAGCTTTCCAAGCAGGAGCTTTCGACAAGAGCAAAGAGCCCTTCAGTATTCGTGGCAAGCAATTTTTCTCTATAGAAAAATCTAAGTGGGTTAGTAACGTATGCCTGGAATTTGCTTTCTATATTGGTACTGTCAGTTGAGACTAGTATCTGAGTGTACTCCCCAGACCTCCAGTAACGCAAAAAAGTATTCGGTTTCTCGTCGGCGCACGCGTCATCTTTGACTATGCGCGTCGACTTTTTTTTATGAAAAACGCTAATCAAGGAAATTCTTGGAATTTTTTTAAATTTCTTGGAAATTTTTTTGAAATTTCTCGGAAATCTCTTTTAAATTTCTTGGAAATTATTTTTGAAATTGTCTTCCCTGTTCAAGGAAATCTACTGAAATTTTTAAACGAAAATACTTATGTTGCATGTTTGTGAATGAACATTAGTACCGAAATGTTTTGGCATGATTTTTGTGTGAGAATTTATAAAGCACAGTCTTGTGATATTTCACATTTGATACATTTCTATTATTTTATACTCTTGAACATTTAATATTATTCTATAGTATAGTATAGTATAGTATAGTATAGTATAGTATAGTATAGTATAGTATAGTATAGTATAGTATAGTTCTCATTTTATTCTATGGTGACATTTTAGACATCAAGCATGCAGTAAAAATCAATGTATGCACTTGTACAGAAACTAGAAATATACTCGCCATTTCTGTCCCATTGAAAAACTGACCAAAGACAGAATACTTTTTTGGCCTAAGAATCACTCCTTTTTGTTCCAGTATTACTACAGGAGGAAACCTAAACTAAGCTAACCAACAATGTGTCTAGCTAACGATCTAAAATATTTCGTATTTGTTACCATTCTTTCAGATTCTCAAAGAATTTTCGCCTGCACTAACCCACGAGACGGATGGTTTGGTATTCAATGCAGTCGACGAGGTAACCTGCAAGTTTTTCTGCTCTTCGAGCCCAATAGGCAATTCCAGCTGTAGACTAAATTTTGATCTAGGCAAGAAGAACAAAATCCATCATCACAGCTAGAAAGAGCATGTTAAAATTAGTAAAATTGCAAAGTTTGGTGGCGAAATGTTGTACAATGACGAAAATATATAGCCCTACGAAATTTGCAAATTTGTATTTATTTGTATTACGCACAGGAAAAATAACCATTTTTGATCCGAAGTGGTTATTTTTACCGCACGCAATTGACGAAAGTATACAAAATTTGCGAACTTCACATGGCTATATTTTCCGCATTTTACAAGGGCTATATTTTCCGCATTTCGCAACCAAACTTTGCAATTTTACAAATTTTAACATGCTCTTTCTAGCTGTGGTGATGGATTTTGTTCTTCTTGCCTAGATCAAAATTTAGTCACCTATAGCTGGAATTGCCTATTGGCCAAACAAAAAAAGAATAAATCTGTATGTATTATTCAGTTGGAGGCTGAAATATTCTTTCTTTCAGGGGTACATCCCTGGCGCGTGTCCAGGACTGTTAAAATGGAAACCTCACACACTGAACTCAGTCGATTTTCAACTCCATATCACAACGGTTCAACAGGAAGGGTAAGATTGCTGTAATGCTTCAGGGAAACACCCTGGTTAATTTTTTTTTAAATTTTTTTATTAACTTTACAATCATATTATATAAAAAAAATACACACACAGCTATTATAGAAGAACTATAATCTAGAATCCCATACTAAGTCCATCCATCTAACACTAAATCACGACATATTACGGACTACACATTGGACAACGTAATACTGATTTTACAGGCCTTTACACTATATAAAACATGCAAGAATAAATACTACACTACTGTGAAATTATTTGCGAGGTTCAGATTTGACCCACCAACTCCACTAGTTAGAAACCACGAACCACTTACATGCATGCAAACCAGGTCAGCGCGAGGTAGTGATAGCGGTAATGGAAGTCAAAAGTGACTCCAGCCATTTTACACCAGACTTTAGTCCTAACATGCAACACGTATTTTACAATATAAACATGCAAGAATAAATACTACACTAAATTATTCGCAAGGTTCAGATTTGACCCCCACCAGCACCACTAGTTGGATTTCATGGTTAATCTAAAATTAACACTCTTTGGATAACTTATGTTCATGGTTAAATTTCCTGGGATATTTAACCACAGTCCTGGTTGAATTAACCAGGAAATTACCCCAAACAAACAGTGTTCATTTTAAATTAACTAGGGTGCTCTTAGACAGTGTATAATTTTATATTGATCAAAATGTGATGAAGCAACGTTCTCTGAGTGATCTTTAGATTGCTTTCTCCTGTTGTGTTTTTGTTTTTGCCTTTTTTTGTGTTGTCTTGAATGGAAATGTTTTCTGCAGTTGCTTGAAAGAGAGGGTCGGAGCATTACGAGTTGGAGGTTACGACCAACCTGTGGGATTTATAAAAGTAAGTCTGTATGATGTAGGCACTTATATTATCCTGTTCACATGTTTTCTTGCAAGAGTAACATACAATTTATTTTGTAACTGCAGTTGGGAGTCACTTATAATAACACTTGTAGAGCAGGCAAATTGAACATATTTTAATTCAATTTATTTACCACAAAAAAACAAGACCGCCGCATTTAATGAAAATAATTAACATTATTTTCTCACTCTGATATAAGCTGATTGACCAGATTAGCTTGAAATTCCCATTTATACAAGAATCCTTTAACTAAGTAAAACCCACGTATGAAATAGAATTGTAAGTATATGTCACTAGTTTATGACCGACATATGCCTATCAAAAAATTCTTGCAATTTTTGTCCTACACTTTGTCTAGATAACTAATGAGTTGAAAAAACTGGACAAGAAAATCATTGAATGTACATACGACGGTAAAAATTGGGTGTTCATGAGACATCGAGAAGATAAGAGTTATCCAAATAGCTACGCGACTGCTCAAAGTAAGCTCATTATAATTTATAACTAGCGGATTAGGTTATGTATCAGAGACTGTTTTTTGACCGAAGTCTGGATTTATGCCATAAAGTCTATTGCATTCGCAATTTGTAATTTGCAATTTACTACAAAAGATTACGGTCAAACATATGTCAAATAACAGATTTCTTTTTAAATACAGTCCATTATACTGTAATTTTTACTTGCTGTAAAAATAACAGTACATTATTCTGTAAAAAAACCAGATATTTTTAATAGTGTATAAATTACAATAGGCCTCCTCATATTTGCGTAAAGACGCTAGCCTGGAGTGTCGCGACGTTGCCGCGTCGTGTATGTAATTCGATCACATGGTTTTACCATACTACTATACCATTATACCACTATACCATTATACCACTATACCATTATGCCATTATGTCATTTATGCCACTGTACCATTATACCATTTATGTCACTATACCATTATACCATTTATACCACTATACCATTATACCACTATACCAATTTTTCAATAGTTTTCAGTTCTTGAAATAGTCTGACCAAAGACAATTTGTTGATGTGTAGACTATAGACATGTTTCCACTCGTTAGCTTTCCTTACAAATATCACTGTTTCAAATGAAATAGTTTGACCAAAAACAATTTGTTTTTGTCCAAAATTTTGTCAGTAAATTTTATTTGAAATAGTGAAATTTTTGGCCCAGGATTTTCCACATATTTTTGAAAGTTCTTTGCAATATAAGGGAAGGTAGCGAGAGGAAACATGTCTATAGTTGGGCCAAAAAAAAATATATGTGGGTTTCCGGTTTCCCGACCCTACCTAGCTTTTGGACGTCGAAATCCCGACCCTAAACTTTTTTATTGGATCATGCTTGTAAGTGTTTCCACTTAGAGGAAAAAGTTTGTGGAAAATTGAAATTTGAGGCAATATTAGGGAAATTTATCTTTGGATGTGGAAGCACTGACTAAACAAAATGGCGTCCGGTTGTTAGGAAAATTAAAAAAAAAGTTTAAAAAAAAAGAAGTTAAAACCGACCTACCCTGCCTAAGTTTTTATAAAAAGAAATCGGAAACCCACAATTTTTTTTTTGACCTTGTCATTCCTTTTTCATTTCAACCCAGGTGTGTGTCAGAGCATCAAAAAGCCTGTCACAGAGGAATGGTTGTTGGAGGTGATTCAAAAACACAGGTTTCGACCTCATGGCGGGCAGTCTCACGGACAACAACAACAACAACAGCAAGCCACAAAAACAAGATAAGATTTTACACTTTTTAATTATTCTCTCTAGTCGATTGGAGGATTGGGAAGCAATCACTCACACGATATAGACCCACTGATCTCAAAAACGAATACTGGATAGAGCAACCGTCTGAATTCAGAGAATTAATTTTGAAACTGAGTAATTGATTCTCATTGGTCATAGTTAAACTCGGTAGATTCTGATTGGCTGATTTCAAAGGTGAACAAAGTTCTGACTTTGAATAACGTAAACCAATCACGTCACGCTCAGGAATTGCAGTTATTTTCAAGTCCTTGTTTAATTGGATATCATATTAATCTGCACTACATTAGGGGTGGACCATTAGAAAAGTGATGGGGGGGGGGGAGCAAGAGCAAAAATAAAAATCGAGCAGGGGAAACAGAAAAAAAAATTCGTGCACCAGAAAAGTTTGAAAAAAAAAATTCGTGCAGAGACTATTCAATAGGGAAAATTGACAGGGCCTATCAGAGGTACAGTGTAAGGGTGTAGCAGATATTGGTGCAAAAAGCGTTTTAATCATGCTTTAAGAAGAATTTGTCAAGGAAATTGTGTTGTAAACCTCAATTAAACTGATGTTAGTCCGGAAAATTTTTTTTGGAAAAAAAATAAAATTCGAACAAGGGATTATTAAAAAAAAATAATCGACACAAGCAAAAAATTTTGAAAAAATAATCGTACACGTTGGAAATGGACCCCCCCCCCATCACTTTTCTAATGGTCCGTCCCTTAGAAACATTTTTGAATCGAAAATTTAGTAGTTTGAAGCATACAGAGAAGTAATATTTACAATGAACATCGAGTGTTAAGAAAAAGTTTTTCGATTTTGAAAATCGAAGTCCAAAGTTCGTTGATATTTAAGTCCAGCCAATCGGAATCCATTGAGTTTCGTCATGACCAATCAGAATTAACTATCCAGATCTGGGTAGCGCGGCTGGGGGTCGACAAGCTAAGCACTGTTAGGCCAGAATAAATATTCCACACATTTCCTACCATAATATAAACTATGAACAGACAATAAGATAACCAGCTGTTCCCACCAAACAGGAGTTAAACTGTTTTAGATCAGTGAATATAACCAATCACCAAAATACTATAGATAGAGTATAGGCATGTATGAATTGCTTTGCGCTAAAACATTAGCTTTGTACAGATTCTATTGAACATTATAGCATTAGCTTTTCTAGAGGGGGGATAGTGTAACATAGAGTGTATTTATTTCGAAGCGAATACCGTGTAAATATATCATTACACAGTCATGTCGTCATGTCTGGTTGCTCAAAATGTAATTTGCATTGGAAATAATTTTGAAATTCCATAGAATGGAAATTGTATGGACCTTTATTGGAAATAGAATGGATTCTGGTTATCCATAATAATTGTATATTTCCATACTATGGATTATATAGTATCGAAATAGTATGGATATATACTATGGATTTAATGGTGCAATTGCTAAGTATGGATTTCACATTTTTTCTCCCAGTGTTGTCGATCATAAGGTCGTCAGGTTATAGGTTTTACAGGCATCGTAACAAATGGAAAATAAAAGTTTCATCCCCTGGCCTAGTTTTGTTTTCATTATAATAAAGCTTTTATCATGGCTTTAATAAATATCGAAAATGGCATTTCAAAGTTCAATTAGCTGAGTTTGATTCAAGTAAGACTATATAAAGTTCACTCAAACGATATTTTATGGCCAGGAAAAAATTTGTGACACGATTCGTCCCAGTTGGTCAGACTCACATGAACATCCCCCAAACCTAATTTTCATTGAATAATTATTACTAGTCCTCTTTAAAACCATGCTGTTGTCAAAGGGCAAAAATAAATTAAATTCACACTAAGTTTTAATTGAGTTTAAGCTAAATATTTGCATGAAGCCGGCAAGCAGACAAATATAGGAAGGAAAAATATCATAGAATGATGGAATGGGAACCGATTGAAAAACTTCCACGAAATGACTAGTTTCCAATAAAACAACTGCAGTGATCTTTGGGGAAGAAACAAAGAAAATTGGAAACAAAATTCATTTTTCACGCGTCATCGCTTTCCTCAGAGAAGCCATGCTTTCTTGGTAAAACTTTGTATCGCTAATGGTGTTCTTCCCCTTACTTGGCTGTTTCTTTGCGAAGTATTTTTCCGATGAATTTGTACTGATCATCCAAACTAGCATTTTATTTAGCTGTTGAACGTGTAGAATATACGATATGTTGTGTCTTGTGTACACAAGCTGTATTCGCATCTGTTTTCGGCACTAGAACATGTCAACATACTTGTGGGTTCAATTTTGAAATATTTAAAATAGTACCTTATTCCATATAACAGCTGGCGCAGTATAGCCTTATATGTTATATAACCTCGACAAGCGAAGGCCCAGCAAAACTTGCATGAAGCTATAATTCTTGATCTTGCAACGTCCTCTCGAAATCGTCATGGGTATATACGGCAAATATACAAGGGCGGTGACGGTGTTTTCCTGTATCCAAATATCGCTTGGTGTTTTGATGTTCGGATTGGGGATTGCGTTCCGTGTTCTTGTATGCAGCTGGGTAACGGATGCGTCCTTTGGATTCTGGGTTGGAGTTCTGGTATACAGTTCATATTATTATAATTATCCTTATATTTAACCAGGATATCATCGTAGTTTTTTTCAGTGGGGCCCGGCTGCAATTATACATAGGCTGATTTAGAAAACACGACGCGATCTCTGAAGGACGTGCCTTCGAAATAAAGTAATTCTTTTAAATATGTTTGATGCGAAACCAGGAGTATTCATATTGAAAACTATAGACGTTCAGTCTCTGGTTATAATTTTTTTTACAAGCTTTCGACTGTCAGTCTTCAGCGGGTAGATTGAAGGCGAAAGCTTGTGAAAAAAAAATACAACCAGAGAACGTCTATATTCGTCTCAGTATAGTTTCCTTCATGCAAAACAAAACGTTTGAATAATTTATGGGCCCAGGGGGGGTATGGCCTCAACAACGTTGTCATTCTGAATACAATGCAATGTTAAATTAAACTAAGATTTTCACGTCATTGGAACAACGTGAATAGGGAGTTTAAGCTTCACGTTTCCGGGAACGGCAAACGGCAGGTTCGAATTTTCTTGGCAAAATTTTCGTTGAACGTTTTCGTTTCATATTTTCTTTCTTGCGTCGAAAGATAATTATGTGTTTCAATTTTAAAACAGCAAGTTCATTTGCTCTTTCTTGCCTGATACCGTAAAATTTTTCTTTGCCTGGCGTTTGACATATAACGCGAAGTTTAAACTCTCAAATGCTTGTTGCGACGTTAGAAGAGTTACATAAAATCTGTCTCATATAGCAGACACCGGATTGTTTTCCCAGAACTTAGCCGTTTGTATAGGCCTAAGGTTATTTTAAAAAGCTTCAGTTTATTACAGTAATCAAGTTCCTTAGCTCTCGGACTGAAATTGAGACCGTTCTGATCGTTGTGTTTTCTAAATCTGTCTGATGACATCAGTACCTAACCTTCCGTTAAAATTTTACCTGCTGTTTTAGTTTGTGTATTTCTGCACGTCTGTTTATTTCAAAACTTCGCGGAGAAGAAAACTCCTACTGATCCAGAGAAGATTTTTGAAGAAATATTTTGAAACGAGCTGTTAGGAAACGCGTTTGCCTTGAATTTTAGGTTATCCTATAGGGTTAAGCTATAATCGGCTTTCGAACTACAACTCCTATGCAGACGTTTATGGCGTCATAATTCCAAACCAAAGTGTCTTGATATATCCCCTGGCCCTGTAACAATGAACCTATTACCTAATGAACAAAATTTTCATCTAGACAAGTCTAGACAAAAATTTCATCACAGCTTGAAAGAGCATCACAAAATTAGTAATATTCCCAAGTTTCGTTGCGAAATGTTGTAAAATGCAGACAATATAGCCATGCGAAGTTCGCCGTTTTTCAGTTATTTTGTATTATACGCCCGGGAAATTGATACCGCTTTCTGAAAAAAGACTTGTCTAGATCAAAATTTTGTTCATTAGGTAATATTCGTGACTGCCATCTCTCACCAATTCTCATTATGGAATGGCAGAATGATGCTTTTCCTAATATATTGATGTTTACGAAAAGGTCTAAAATTGATATCATTCTCGTCTGTTATTTGCAGTCTATATATATTCGCGTACGTATAAATATTGGCTCTGTTATTTTCTTAGGTGTTCATCGGAGGAATCGTTGGGTATTATAGTGCAAAGACAAGCAACTACAGCTATGTAAGTAAACTGATCTTTGAACTTACTTTTTCTTGCTAAGCAGGTTACAGCCACGAGCTAGTTTCCATATGGGCCTGGCAAGTTTTCATATGGCAGGTTTTATTTGTCATTTGCACCTGCATGTGACTGTGTACATATACAACAAATTTTCTTTGACAAGCTTTTGGTTTTCTGACCGACACAAAAACACATACAACAATATAATCGCGCTGATTGCTCGTCTGCATGAAACCGCGGCTTTATAATTATAGGATGAAGATTTGAGGTTGGGACGAATTATGAACTGATATATTTCCCTGTTTTTTTTTTAGATTGGGTACTATCTAGGCTTTAATTCGTTCAGCATCGTGTTTGCATTCCTTGTGATATTCTGTCATTCCATCGCCTCGGTCCACTTCATTCATCAGATCGATTCTGTAAATAGAACATCGGTCAATTCCAGTAATTCCAGCAACATGACATCTAGGCCTACAACAACCGGTATATTTAACTATATCATTCTACATCGTGAATAGACCTTTCCCCTTTTGAGTGAAATTTTGATCTAGACAAGTCAATACAAAATGACTGAAAATTTAAAATTTAGAAGGGCTATATTATCCACATTTTACAACATTTCGCAACGAAACTTCGGAATATTACTAACTTTGTGATGCTCTTTCAAGCTGTGATGAAATTGTTGTCCAGGCATATCTAGATCAAAATTTCACTCATAAGGGGAAAGGTCTATTGAAAGGGACCAAAACGACCCCGTAAAACTCGTTCTGGGGTGAATTTTGAGGGGGTTTTTCCCCTTCTCAATGTACACGAACTCGAGTCGTATTGAGCAGTCTCATTTTTATCTTCGCGCTCATCGGTATTAATTATTTAAAAAACTTATATTTCAACTAGTTTCGAGATTATAAATGTATACTTGCTATAAACTTAAAAACAACTGCTGTGCATGAGGGTTTTCGTTGTGTTTTTTTTTCTAAAAAGCGATTAACTTGTTGTTTTTGCATTCGATAAAACTCCGTAGATTTTGAGCCGCCATTTTAAACAGTGGGTGGTCTAAAAAAAGCGCAACAAAAATGAGCAAAAAGCAACGAAAATATTTTTAAAACAATTTGTATTACAGCTCCCATATATAATACTATTGTTTCTGGAAACACCACGTAAATTTATTGCTGCAGAAACAATGGTATCATATGTTTTGTCGCCATGCAAACCTACAAAGAACTTAGCTCCCATGTATAGTTGTAAACAAAACAGTATTTACAAGCTTTAGAAATTTTATTCGTTAGAAATAGTTTTAAAGAACACTGTTAAACAAAACATTTCCTTGTGTTTGACGGGACCGTAGATTCGTTTACAGTCGTGCCAATAGAAGTTCCGAAAAATGTTGACCAATTCATTTCCTAACTTGAAGGAACACCTCCGAACAATTCCTCAACAATTTGATAAGTTCCTTAAAAAGTTCCTAACTTCCTATTTCATTGACCAATCAAATTTTATATTTTATTTTTGAGCAATCTGATTGGTCAATGAAACAGGAAGTTAGGAACTTTTTAAGGAACTTATCAAATTGTTGAGGAATTGTTCAGAGGTGTTCCTTCAAGTTAGGAAGTGAATTGGTCAACATTTTTCGGAACGCTTCTATTGGCACGAATGTAAGTAAAAAAAATTTGCTTGTAAACACGTTGCTTGTAAGAACGTTGCATGTAACCTAGACTTTCCAAAGTCCGCGGTTCGTGGTTCCTGGAAGCGACGGACTTTTGTCACCCGCAAGCGCGCCAAATTCACCGGTGCATTTTTGCTCCGGTGACGTCAGTGAATGCTCATTATTATTATGAACAAAACAATAATGAACTAGTGAAATCGACATGGTGAACGCTCACTATGTCATAATTGATTTTCGCGCCAAATTTTTCAGTAAGATTCAAAATCAGGCAAGTGACACAAGTCGCTCGCTTCCGTCTTTCTCAAGCGCTCCCTTCTTGCTACGCGCGGTCCCTAGCGAATGGTCCCTTGCTACGAATGGTCCCTTGCTACGCGCGGTCCCTAGCTACGAACGGTCCCTAGCGAATGGTCCCTTGCTGCGAATGGTCCCTTGCTACGCGCGGTCCCTAGCGTCAGTGAATGCTCATTATTATTATGAACAAAACAATAATGAACTAGTGAAATCGACATGGTGAACGCCCACTATGTCATAATTGATTTTCGCGCCAGATTTTTCAGTAAGATTCAAAATCAGGCAAGTGATACAAGTCGCTCGCTTCCGTCTTTCTCAAGCGCTCCCTTCTTGCTACGCGTGGTCCCTAGCGAGCGACTTGGGCAAGTCTACATGTAACCTGAACAAGACGGGAAGCCATTTTGGTCCGGAAGTGAATAGTGCAAGGATATCCGATTGCAATCAAATTGCTCGAAAAGCACTCATGCTGACAAATAATTATTTATATCCTTCCAGGTCTTACACCAACTACAACATCGGTGCCAACATCAATCAACTGCATCAACAACTGTACAAATAGCACCTCCCCTAGTACCACTGGTGCTTCAACAGCACCAACTAGTGCCGGCTCATCGGGACCAAATTGTTACACTCACCAGACTTGGAGCGACTACCAAAACGGCATACGTGGTTTTGGACTGGGAGCTAGTATGATATTTCTATGCTTCATGGAAATTCTCATGTCATTGTTGTCGTCAGCATGTTGCTGGGCTGCAACTAAAGTCGAGCCCACTAGGGTGAGTAGTTCCTCAATTATGATAACATTTAAATTGACAATATTTAACTATTATTTTGTGTTCCTCAACCGCCAGATACGTTTAAAAAGGTTGCTGATTGTGTAAACTACAAAATAAAGCTAAAACAAAGTAATTCTGAGAGGAACGCCAAGAAGATTTTGGGTTCTGAATTACACTTTTAATCGCAAGTACACGAGCTTGAAAAGAATTGCCTCTTGTAAATAATGACCTACGGTGGCAACTCAACAATGATGTTATCCCTAGGTAACCAGAAGAAAAGCGACGATTCAGGGAACTGCATCCGAAATGATTGCTGCTTCACAAAGTTTTGAGATGGTCATGCCAAGAAGACGTCATGTAAGTGGAAATGAAGCATGCCTGGATTTGACAATTTTTAACAAGACTTCCTCCGACGTCCGTATATTTCTGGTAGACTATAGTGTGAATAACATGACGTAGCGCGCGAGGGAAGGCGTGACGCATGCGGAGACTTGTCAGCATTGAACCCGGATGCAAGCCAACACAATTCCTAATAAATTTTCTCTTCAAAACTCGACAGAAAATTTTATAGAGCAGAATATAAATATGAATAAATGGCAGAATGGAATAAAACTTAACAAAACTAAATAAAAGCGAATAAAACTAGACGGATTGTAAATCGCAAAGATTTAAAATACCTTTCAGTATTATGAAAAATTAAACTGTCGAATAATTTCGGCGTATTAATCCCAGTTTAATGCCAATACAAGAATATGGGAAACTATTTTTGTAAGTTTATCACGACAGCTAGGTCTAGGGGTGCACCGGAACCATTTTTTTAAGTTCCGGCCGGAACCGGATCCGACAGGAACTGGAAAAAAGTTCCGGCCGGAACCGGAACTGATTTATTAAACCATATATAGTCATATGTTACTTTGCCTGCAGCTAGACAAGCAGACACTTCAAGTCATCAAGGAGAGAGCTCGCAAATGTTAGAATAAAAACACTGACAAACGTTAAACGTCATAATGAAGTGTTAATAGTGCACATTTTCCTTGCGTAGTCCGATGCTAATCAATTCTGTTTCTCTGAAAACGACAGAGTTCCGATTCCGGCCATGCTTTTTTTATTAGTTTCGGCCGGAACCGGAACTCTGAAAGATCGGGGTTCCGGCCGCAACCGATTTCCTGTGCAGCCCTAACGACAGCTGCATGTGGATTGAGAGATACGACTCCCTGAAAAATGTAAGGAGAACTTCGACGTTTCGAGGCAATGCCCCGCGTCCTTCGCTCGAAACGTCGAAGTTCGGGTTATATTTTTGAGATGGATAGTCGTGTGTCCAACTCAATCTGCGACAGTCTTAGAGATAGATAGTATATTTTAACTTCCATGGCAGCATACACTGAATTGCAGAAGTTTTACATTATGATTAGATAGATCAACCGGACTGACGTGAAGCAGACCGAGGTAGACTTTGAGCTTACAAATGGCGCTTGAGCAGCCGCTATTAGTCCATACCTCATTAATGATCTGTCTCCAGACCTTATGTGCCTAACCCACCCTGTCAACTTTCCCTGTGGGAGGAAACACGGAGTACCCGGAGAAAACCCACGACTTTCGGCAGAGCGTTGACTTACTCTTTTCACATTAGGACTGGGTTCCAGTCACAATGAGAAGTCCTCATTGAGATTCGGACCTGCGGCCTAAACCACTTCGCCACCGAAG